TGAGTGTGTGGTGTAGTTGAAAAGAATATAGTATTGGTTATTGGTGATGGATTTCTTTAATTATCTATGGTTTTAATTATGTTTTTTTTTTCATTAATCACCACCTGAGGATATTTTTTCTATTGATTTTTATTTTTTTTATTGATTTCCAAGAGGGATAGGGAGAGATAGAAACATCAGTGATGAGAATAATCATTGATTGGTTGCCTCCTGCATGCCCCGCATAGGGGGCCGAGCCCACAACCCGGACATGTGCCCTACCAGGAATCAAACGATGACCTCCTGGTTTCCTAGGTTGGCAATCAACCACTGGGCCACACTGGCCAGGCTCTATTGATTTTTAGAGAGAGTGGGAAGGGAAAGACAGAGAGAAACGTCAATGTGTGTCAATTGGCTGTCTCCCCCACGTGCCCTGACCCGGGCTGGGGACAGAGCTTGCAACCGAGGTATGTGCCCTTGACTGGAATTGAACCCACGACCCTTTAGTCCAGGGGGCCGACACTAGCCATTTAGCCAAACTGGCTAGAGCTATTGATGGCTTTTAATTAGCAATATTACCTCTTATTAGTTGCTCATTCCTATGCATCATCAGTCAGCTGGTTGGTTTTTAGGACTCCCTTTACCTCAGCAGAATTTCTTCTGGACCTCAGCTTTCTCTGTGAAATAGGCTTCCATCTCTAAAATCTAAAGCATTAAGTCATTTTATCACTTAAAATGTGGATTTTAATTGAGTATTTAGTTAGATTGAATTTTTATATTTGGATTGATAAAATAAAGTGTGCTAAAGTTTAATCAAAATTTTAATTTGGTTCCATTGTTAAATTGTCTTTTCCTCTTTTTTCTCTTTCTTTTTTTTTTTTTAGGAATCGCTTCATGTTTGGCTGTTTTCTCAGCACTAATGAAATAGCATTTTCTGACCCAACACCAGATGGCAAGTTATTTGCAGCCAAGTACTGCAACACCCCTAATTTCCTTGTATACAATTTTAATAGTTAAAACCAATTCCAACTATAGAATAATTATTATATGGGTGAGTTAAGACAGTTTCTTATCATATAATAACTACTTAGCAAATGTCAAAATAAAAATACTGAACCGCATGCACACACACACAACCTGGCTGTTTTATTCCTTATGAATTGAAAAGTCAGGGATAGATTTCTTGAAAATTATCTGGAGATTCAAAGAAAGGAAAAACCTTTGGATGATGTATACTGACACACTCTGAATCCTTAATTATGAAACTTTGTAGATATAACTGGAAAATTACTTGCCCCTTACATAGGATCACTGACATGTTTTCCATAGAAATGTGACCACTTACATTTTATTAAGCACTTTTGAACCAGGATTATCTCATGCTTAATCAGAAGCAAACAGGAAAATTTAAAGACAAATACTTTCCATGCTCAATTTTTAAAAGAAATTCCTGAATTCTGTACACAGAATTCTCACCTTATAGGTAGCAGCTTAGTTGAATATATTCAGAAAGTCTTTAAATTTCTAGTTTGTAATAGGGTAACATGGTAAAGAATAAGATTTTCATGTAGAACAGAATTCTATAGCTTAATGTTTCAATCTTTTTAAAAATCTTTACTCAAAAGAAATTCTCACCAGATTTCATTAAACTTAGTAATTGCACTACTGTCATTTAATTTTTGGTGTATGAATATGTTAATTGTGCTACTTATCTTTAGTGTACTTACTACTGCTAATTGAAATAATCAACAAAATGGATGCCCAATTGGGATTAGATGATTCATATTGTTACATTTAAAAATGTTTGCATGTCTAAAATACATCTTACTTGTTCTGAGATATATCTAACAAAATGTATAGTATCAGAACCAAGGTTAGTGAATAAATATATCTAGGTTGATGGGCCAGAGAACATGACATTATGTAGATACACCTAAATGTTTTAATCTCTCTAAAAATCAGTTTTCTAGTATAATTCTTGGGTACTTTGAAAAGCAAAGGATTATTCAGATTGTTGATTCTAAAAAACATTTAATTGCTATCTGGCAATAATACTCTAGGGAAGTAGTTTTCCAGGTTATAACTTTATGTAGAATATGTTCATTACATTCTTTTATTTGCCTGTAAATTAACATGGTTCCAAAATTTAAAGGCTTGGGTTCCAAAAAGAATGTGGAAGTGTTAAATGTGCGTAATTATGCAAACACCTTATTTTCTGCACTGCTGTTTTGTTTTAAATATTTTATTTAAAAATTTTTATTAACATTATTTGCTTGTTCAATGCTTTTATGATGCATCAATTAAAAAATTTTTTCAATATTTTGTCTATTCTCATATAATAGAATGTACTGATTTTCTTAAGTTATTTTTTGTGGCTATAAAAATAGTATATGTTCCCCTGGCCCAGTAGCTCAGTTGGTTAGAGCATTGCCTCAATATGCCAAGTTTGCGATTTTCCCCGGTCAGGGAACATACAAGAATCAACCAATGAACGCATAAATGAGTGGCACAACAAATTGATGTTTCTCTCTCCCCCTTCCTCTCTCTAAAATCAATAAGTAAAAAATTTTTAAGTACATGTTTTTACTTGTTTAAGTAAAAAATAACCCAATCATTGAAAATATATCTATCTACACAAAAACTGCACACAAATATTTATAGCAAGCTTATTCATAATTGTCAAAACTTAGAAGCAACCGAGATGTTCTTTAGTAGAACAAAGAGCTACATCCAGACAGTGGACTAAATTCGGCACTAAAAAGAAACCACAAAAAGGCATGGAGTAACCATAAGTGACTATTACCAAGTGAAAGAAGACAGTCTGAGGCTACGTTCTATATGATTCCAACTATATGACATTCTGGACAGGCAAAACTGTGGAGACAGTAAAAATATATGTGGTTGCCCTGGCCAGTTTGGCTCTGTAGAAAATCAAAATATATTTAAAAATATATATATCTATATGGCTGCCATGGGTTGGAGGAACATAGGATTTTTAGGCCAGTGAAAATATTGAAGTATACTGTTATATTGGTGGATAGATGCTTTTATACATTTGCCCAAGTTCAGAATGGATACCAAGAATGAACCCTAATTTGTCACTGTAGATTCATCAGTTTAAACAAATGTACCACTCTGGTTGGGGATGTTGATAATAGGGGAAGCTAGTCTTCCTCTTGCCCTCTTCAATTATTATATCATCTTCCTCAAATGTAACTACTTTTTTAAATCCTCACCCAAGAATTTGTTTTTATTGATTTTAGAGAGAGGAAGGGGGAGAGAGAGAAACATTGATTGGTTTTTTCCATTACATGTCCTGACCAGGAATCAAACCCGCAACCTTTTGGTATATGGGATTCTCCAACCAACTGAGCCACCCAGTCAGGGCATATAACTACCTTTGGATTACTAACTCTTTAGTCTCTTTTTGAATTTCATAGCAATTAAATCTTCATATATGTCAAAATACATTTATGTTATTACATTTAGGTGAATCTCACTTTTTTTACTATATATTATTCCACCCTACTTCACCCTACTTCGGGGCCGAGGCAGAGGCGGTTAGGGGTGATCCGGCCAGGAGGGGAGGGCAGATGGGGGCGAGTAGGCCAGCAGGGGGGACCAGTTGGGTGCAAGCAGGCCAGCAGGGGGGGCATTTGGGTGCAAGCAGGCCAGCAGGGGGGGCAGTTGGGGGCGAGCAGGCTGGCAGGCAGAGTGGTTAGGAGTGATCAGGCAGGCAGGCAGGTGAGCAGTTAGGAGCCAGCGGTCCCGCATTGCAAGAGGGATGTCCAACTGCCAGTTTGGGACATCCCCCAAGGGATCCCAGATTGGAGAGGGTGCAGGCCAGGCTGAGGGACAACCCCTCATGCACAAATTTCATGCACTAGGCCACTAGTACTAACAACTGGAGAAACTTCTAAACCTGGATTGGAGACTCGAAACAGGCGTGACCCTCCCAGCACCAAAATGATCACAGGCAAAACAAAAACTTTCCTTGAAATGTTTAAAGGCTGGACCCGGCCATGATGTTGAATTTACTGCCAGCTCTGAGTGATTTAAATGATTCAAGAATTGTTCTTTATCCATTAGATCATGTAATGAGTGGTAAGTCTGTAAGTACTGATGTGAAAGCAGGTAAAGAATTTTTGGGAACTCTAGGTAAGCTGATTGTGGAGGGAAATTACATGCCAGAACCTAAATTCAATACGGATGAAACCTCCTTATTCTGGAAAGGTCTTCCATCCAGAGGGCAAGATTCAAGGCTTTTAAGGACAGGGTAAGTCTTGCTTGGGGACAATGCTGTAGGCTACAAATGAAAACTCTGTGACCTGCAGTGAGAACCCCAGGGCTTTCAGCCTCTTTTCTAATATTTAAGACTATGAATCTTGATAAGCACATCTTTAGCCATACCCCACAAGTTTATATACATTTTTTTATTAAAAATATTTTCTAGCCCGGTCAGCGTCGCTCAGTGGTTGAGCGTCAACCTATGAACCCGAAGGTCACGGTTCGATTCCTGATCAGGGCACATGCCCGGGTTATGGGCTCAATCCCCAGTATGGGGCATGTAGGAGGCAGCCAATCAAGGATTCTCTCTCATCATTAATGTTTCTCTCTCCCTTACTCTCTGAAATCAATAAAAATATATTTTAAAAATATTTTCTAGAGACTGGGTTCTTAGGAACTAGTCATTCCTTCAGTACCAGTTCAGCTCTTAGGACTAGGCTTGGCTCTTTGGGGCTAGGCTCAACCCTTCAGGACTTGGCTAAGCCTTTGGGACTAGGTTGGGCTCTTTGGGGTAGGCTTGGTTCTTAGGCACTGGGTCATCTCTTTGGGACTAGAGTCAGGGCTTAGGGCTAGTCTCAGCTCTTTGGGGTTAGCTTGGCTTTTGGGGGCTACACTCGATTCTTCTGGCTAGGCTCAGCTCTCTTCAGAGCTATGGTTCACAGATAGAAATTACTGACCCAAGTCACCCTCATTTTACAGATTAACAAAATAAGGCCAAGAGAGGGAAAGAAATCTCACATTCATTCTGCAACTTTAATGACAACACTCAGATCAATGGGAGTATAAAATAGATAATACACCTTCTGGTTAACTAAAGTGTCCTTTATTCTATATCATCCTATTAGTTTTATTATTTTTACACCAGAGCTCTAAAATGCTTAAGAGCTAGATTAGTAAACAAAAAATAGAAAAGGATCTCAGTACAGAAATACATTTAATAAATGAAAGCAAACACCAAAGATCTGAGGAGAACCAAGAGGACAAGACGAGCCTTAACCGACAATGTTTGGAAATACCCAAGGAGCTACTGTGCCATATTCTCTCAGCTTCCAATGACTATTTAATAAGCATATCAGCCAAGAAAGACCAGCATAGTTTTATGTTTTAATAGATAATCAAACTTCTGTACTTCAAAGTGCTAATTTAAATTGATCCATTTAAGTAGAGAATATTCAAGGAAGATCACTAATAAAAGTATTGGTTCCCCTACCCAAATTAATGTTAGACATAGGAGTTTTAAATGGGCAGAGGATCAAAATAGACACAGCTAGACTCACCAAGAGGTAAGGAGCTGCTATGAACAAATTTCTAAATCTCTATGAACAAATTTCAATACTTGTTCCTTAAGCCTAAAAGTTTTTTAAGTTTCATAGAAAACCCACTACGATATTAAATACTAATAAGTATACATGAAATACCTTTATAATACAAAGTTTTTCAAATGTTAAGGTGCTATGGTTCTAAAATAGGCCACTTTCAAACAGTCTAATAACTATGGATTCTCACAGTAACTACATAAATGTATTACAGTAAAGAGAACAGTTATATATATGAGCCCTACTTGAAACTCAGGTAGTTGTGAATATGAGATCACTGGACATGTATTTCCAAAGCCTCAACAATGTGCGCAGCCGAAGGACGGTCTTTAGGGTCTTCATTAGTGCACACAGAGAAGAGCTCGATTACTTTCTGGTAGGTCTCATCCAGTTCTTCCATATTAAGAGGTGGCCTCGTTCCCAAAGCTGCATAGTATGCTTCATCATCGAAGTCACTTTCATCAAAAGTTTTATCTGTTCATGAGAAAGTATGAAACAAATAAAATCACTTTAAATCATGGAAAAACTTATCGACTGCTCACTCACCCTTCTGAAACATCATCCAGCTTGCTTTTCATTATACCAGTCTCTTCCATTGTCCTGCCATGGTGTAGATTAGCTATTGTCATGCATTTGTTACATGGATTTAGTCTATGATCATCAACCCTTACTATAATAGCTTTCTAATCTTCTCAGGCAAAGAGAGTTTTTAAGGTAACTTTTTGCTCCTCTGAATTTTCTCAATTTACCTCTGTTCTGAATTAATCTACATCTCATTTGTATGAAATTAAACCAAGATGATACCAAATTAGTCAACAATAATATAATCTATAACTCATGCAACTAAATCAAACACCTTGTTCTTTTTAAAATTAACTTAATAGAAAAATAAAAATGTAACTTTATAAACTAATCTTATTTCAAACCAAAGAGATTGGGTTTTACATTAAAAATATGTAGTTATACCTTCATCATAATCATCATCATCTGCAAGAGTAATGTGTGGAATACACAGAGTCATCATTTCCCACAGAGTAAGGCCAAAGGCAAATATGTCTGCTTTGTCAGTAATAATACCATTCTCCTCCAAAGCTTCCTTGGGTTTCCAAGGCTCAGTGCCAATGTAACAGGCCTCAGGGTCAGTTACTGAAACAAGCAAAACACAGGTAGAACTGTCATAAGGGCCAGCACAAGAACTCACTGAGAAAGGCAAACAACGACCACCAAAATGGGCAAATGATTTGACAGGTGGTTTAAAGGTTATCAAGTCCAGCCAGTAAACATGGAAAAATACACTCAACCTCAATAATTAATACAAATTACTTTTTCTTTATCAGATTGATAAATATTTAAAAAGCTGGATAGTTGCCAAGGGTGTAGAGAATCAGCAATTCTTTTAGAAAGTGGTAAGAATATAAATAGATTGTGGATGTTAGTACAGACTCTAGAGCAAGATTGTCTTGCCTGGGTTCAAAGACACAAGCTCTGTAACCTTAAACATTTACTCTGTGCCTGTTTCTTCATTTTTCAAACTGCTATTATTAGGCTGAGAGAAATACCATTTCTATGTTTCTATGATTGCTAAATCAGGGAAAAGGGAAAGAGTCGAATCACATATTGGCTTTTGCTCAGGAAATGACTCAACTTCATAAAGGTTAAATAATGAAAATGTGTTCCTTTGTGTAGCTTTGTCCCTAACAAATCGCTTTTAATTTGTTGTTACATTCTCATTGTTTTCTAAATATTTTACAACTAGAATTTGATTTCTTCATTCAGCCTAGAATCAATTATAAGTATTTTAAATTTAAAAATTTGATTTTTTTTGTTTTTTTTTTTGTTTCCAACTATGTTACTAATATCTAGATGTATTTCACTAAGGACAATGAATGTCAAACATTAGGCTACTTCTACTTTTTGTAAACCAAGGGTTTTTTTATATCCTAACCAATATATATAATCAATTTTCTAATGCATAGATTGACCTTATCTACTCAATCTTTTAATTTTTTTTACATCTTAGTTTTATCTACTTCATGTATTAAGGATTAAGAAAATTACGTTAGAAAATCTTATTTTTATTCTTTTTAAAAAATTCTCCTTTTCTAAAGTTTCATATCTGTAGTACTTACTTAGACTGAGGGTTCATGACTTTATTTTGACTTTTTCCTTCAATTCAACTTATAGACCTTAACTTTAGCTGGAAATTAAGGTGTGTGTGTGTGTGTGTGTGTGTGTGTGTGTATATATTCTAAATAGCATTCATATAAAGAGAAAAATTTAAATGTTATTAAATATGCTAAAAGCAGAAGCTTTTTCTTTGAGGCTGTCTCTTGGTTCTCACTAAGAATATATCTTAAATTCCCTAAGAGAATGAACAGTATCTATATATGTAAAAGGCTGTGTTCGTCAGTCCGAATGGTAGCTATGATGCACACTGACCACCATGGGGCAGACACAACACAGGAGCTATCATGATGTGCAAACAGAAACGGCACCACGGACCTGGCACCGACAAACCAACACTCAGCTTCCTCCAAGTGGAACACAGGCCCCCCACCACCTTGGAGCAACACCCCACCAAATCGCAGCCAACACTGCCAAGACCCCATGGTGCAAAGTGCAGCCCACAGCCTAGCCCAGCCCAGCAATGGTTGCTGTGGGCGCCAGGTAATGATGTCACATAGCAACGCCTGGCTTCCTCTCCCTAGCGACTAGCATCCTTGGAGTTTCTTCAGCCCAGGAACCTAACTTGCTTTATAGCCAGGTGCAAACATTTTACAGTTTAACCAAATGTTTGTGAAGCATTTTCCCGTGCCACATCTCATTTCATCCTTACAGAAGTCCTAGAGTTGGTAGATAGGAGACTCAGTAGAATCCTATTTTCTTTTCATTAGCAAGACGCGAATAGAGATATTAAAATATTTCTTCTAATTAACTTTCAATGTGCACGAATCCGTGCACTGGGACACTAGTTTACAATAAAGTGAGAAGAATGAGTGGGGTGGGACGGGGCAAAAAGCAGAATACTGGCCTTTGCTAGCACCTCTTTCCTACTTCCACTCTAGTTTCTTCTTCTATCAGTTTCCCAAACCTTGTCAATGTATTGATGCTAAATGAATTCCTTTATAAAATCTTATTAAAATTTTATTTTCACCCTGGTTGGTGTGGATCAGTGGTTAGAGCATCAGCCCAGACACCAAAGGGTCACAGGTTCAACTCCTGGCCCAGGGCACATACCTGGGTTGCAGGTTCGGTCCTGGGCCCCAGTTAGGGCATGTGTGGGAGGCAACCAATCAATGTGTGTCTCTTGCATCATGTTTCTCTCTCTCTTCCCCCCACCCCACTCCTTCCCATCCACTCTCTAAAAATCAACAGGAAGAATATCCTCGGGTGAGGATTAACAACAACAATTAAAATATTTTTAAAAATTTTCATTTTCTATTCCCAGATCTTCTACCATTTTTTAAAAATCCCAATCTAGGTTAGAAATAGTTCCTAAAGTTATCTTCAGTTAAAATAATATATATTAATAAGAAAATAATTTATACTGTGCATGTGGCAAGAGATGGGGCTGGAGGCTGAGTGAAAAATACAGGAGGGATAATTTTTATTGTACACTTTATTAATAGTTTTTTATTTTTGAAGACTGTAAAGTTATTTATTTAAACGTGTAAAAATTAGAAATTTTAAAATTACATTAAAAAAATGTTACAAATTAGAATACTACTCACCTGTCATATTTTCATCCAATGGTAGAGAGACTCCTACATCACAGATTTTAATTGTTTCAAAATCACCTTTAATTACAACATTTGAAGACTTTATGTCTCCATGAAGCAACTTCTTATCTTGGTGCAGATACTAAAATAGTGGAAAATTTAACATATATGAACAAAAATACAAACTAAATACACATAAATAACCTTCAAACAAATATAATTTGAACTCCCTTCCTAAACTACAGGATTATACCATCATTTCAAATTATTTGAAGCTAGAGAAGGAAATATCTCATGTTATCTTGGTCTGTCAAACACACCAGAAATCTAAGAGATTTGTTGGAAATCTTGTAGATAAGCTTTTTATTTACAAACCCTTTTTACATACTTTTATATCAAAAGATGCTACAGCAGAAGCCCCAGCCGGGTGGCTTAGTTGAAGCTTTGTCCCGTACACGAAAAAGTTGTGGGTTTGATTCCTGTTGGGGCATGTACCTAGGTTTGGGTTCAATCCCCAGTCAGGGCGTGTGTAGGAGGCAACTGATCGAACCCTCTCGCTCTCTCTCCCTCCCCCTTTCCTCTCTTTAAACATCAGTAAGCCCAGCCAGTGTGGCTCAGTTGGTTGAGCATCTTCCCGTGCATCCAGTGGTTCTACTCCCAGTCTGGGTGTGCCGGAAGCAGCCAATCAATGATTCTCTTTCACTGATGTTTCTCTCTCTCTCTCTCTCTCTCTCTCTCTCTCTCACTGATGTTTCTCTCTCTCTCTCTCTCTCTCTCTCTCTTCCTCCCTCCCTCTCTCACCAACCGATGATTCTCTCACGGACGTTTCTCTCTCGCTCGCTCCCACCCTCTCTCTTTCACTCTCTCGCTCCCATTCCCCCTCTTCTCTCACTCTTGCTCTCGCTCCCTCCCTCCCTTCCTCTCCTTCTCCATCTCCCTCTAAAATCAATTAAAACATATTTTAAAAAAATAAAAATCAGTAAAACACATCCTTGGGTGAGGATTTAAAAAAAAAAAGAAAAGAAAAAAAAGATGCTATGGAGATATCAAAATATACCGCAACTTAATTTGAAGCTAGAAAATTTTAGGAATGATTTTGGAATCTTCAAAATGAGACATACTTTTTTCTAACTGAGATGATGCAAAACAATACATAACTCAGGTCTACACACAATACATAACTCAGGGCTACAAGAAGAGGAAGCAGAAATATAATCTTAGAATTGACAACTAACAACATTCATCCATAATAAAAAATGTCTTACAAACCTGTTATTCATTCATCAGCATTTGAGCATTTACTCTATGACTGGGTTTGAAAATGATGCAGACATAAATCTTGGAATATAACTTGAAATACTCACTGTGCTTCATTTAAATGTTGCCCATCATAAAGACAATATGCTCAAATACATAATTTATTAATTCCATTATATATATTTAAAGTCATTTATTAAATAATCAAATTGTTGATTTAGTTTACCCTATCCACTTAAAAGTTTTTTTTTCTATACGCTTATTAAAAATATATACTTAGCCTGACTGGCAGGGTTCGGTAGTTGAGTGTAGACCTATGAAACAGAAGGTCTCTGTTTGATTCCTGGTCGGGGCACATGTCCAGGTTGGGGGCTTGATCCCCAGTGGGGCGCATGCAGGAAGCAGCCAATCAATGATTCTCTCTTATCACTGATGTTTCTCTCCCTCTCCCTTCCTCTCTGAAATCAATAAAAATATATTTAAAAATAAAAAATAAGTATCTTTAGAAATATTGCCTTTCTCCAATTTTATACTTCATAAATCAATTTTAATTTAAACTCTCATGTACAATTTTGACATCAGTATCATTACATAATCTGCATTTGAGTCATCCAACAGTTTTCTGGGGTCATCACTACTTCTGTTTAAGTTATTTAGGATATGGAATTATTTTTATTTCTAACACTGTGTCCATCCAAAGGCACAATAATTTATTTGCATAAAATTGAGAGCTATTTTCACTTGACTTATAGATCAGCGGTTGCCAACTGGTGGTCCACGGACCACTGGTGGTCCGTGAGGTCTGAAAGGTTGGCGACTGCTGTTATAGATGACTATTCATGATGCCAAAACCTATATCCCAAATCTTTTTTTTTTTAAATATATTTTTATTGATTTCAGAGAGGAAGGGAAAGGGAGAGAGATTGAAACATTCATGATGAGAGAACCCACTGATCGGCTGCTTCCTGCATGCCTCCCACTGAGGACTGAGCCCACAACCCAGGCATGTGCCCTTGATCAGAATTGAACCCGAGACCCAAGTCGCAGAGCTGACGCTCTATCTATCCACTGAGCCAAACCAGCTAGGGCCACAAAACAATCTTTAAGAAGCTTGTTTACATCAATAGGGGGTTAGGCTACATCCCCAGTAATAATTAGTAAATTTGTGTTAAATTTAATCCTTTCATAACTAAATCTAACATGTGATCTCTGTAAGCAAAACTGCCTAACTTGGGTTATTTCGTTATTTTGGACTATGTGAAGGTCTTTCAAAATAAGGAAATAGTACACTCTGCAACATAAAATATTCCATAAGGCAGCGGGTCACCAACTGGTGGTCTGTGAGGTCCGAAAGGTTGGCAACCGCTGCCATAAGGAAACTTTCACTTAAGGCAGTGGTTCTCAACCTTCTGGCCCTTTAAATACAGTTCCTCATGTTGTGACCCAACCATAAAATTATTTTTGTTGCTACTTCATAACTGTAATGTTGCTACTGTTATAAATCATAACGTAAATATCTGATATGCAGGATGGTCTTAGGCGACCCCTGTGAAAGGGTCGTTTGACCGCCAAAGTGGTCGCGACCTACAGGTTGAGAACCACTGACTTAAGGCAACCCCTTCTTTTGTGGGGTTGGGGAAGAATCCTACCATGTGATTAGGTATGTAATGTACTTGGTTTTGCTTTGGGTTTTTTTTTCTGTTTTTTTTTTTAAATATATTTTATTGATTTTTTTTATTGTTTAAAGTATTACAAATAGTAGTACATATATCTCCTTTTTTTCCCCATTGAGAGTTAGAAACATCGATGAGAGAGAAACATCAATCAGCTGCCTCCTGCACACTCCCTACTGGGTATGTGCCCGCAACCAAGGTACATGCCCTTGACTGGAATCAAACCTAGGACCCTTGAGTCCACAGGCCGATGCTCTATCCACTGAGCCAAACCAGTTAGGGTGGTTTTGCTTTGTTTTTAATATGTTTTTATTTCTTAGAGAGAGAGAAAGGGAAAAGAAGACAGAAACACCCATGAGTGAGAACATCGATTGGCTGCCTCCTGCACGGCCCTCACCGGGGATCAAGCCCAAAACCTGGGCACATACCCTGATCAGGAATTGAATGGGCAACCTCTTGGTACATGGGTCAATGCTCAATCCCTTAGGCACACCGGCTAGACCAGCCGTGGGCAAACTACGGGCCGGATCCGGCCCGTTTGAAATGAATAAAACTAAAAAAAAAAAAAAGACCGTACCCTTTTATGTAATGATGTTTACTTTGAATTTATATTAGTTCACACAAACACTCCATCCATGCTTTTGTTCCGGCCCTCCGGTCCAGTTTAAGAACCCATTGTGGCCCTCGAGTCAAAAAGTTTGCCCACCCCTGGGCTAGACTGTACTTAGTTGTCTAATGTTCCACAAAAGTCACGTAAAATATAATGGTACAGTTACCTTTAACCCTCTTGCCATGTTCAAAGCAACTTTTAAAATTGTGGCTGCTGGAAAAGGATTGTGGCTGTCTTTATTTCGTTCTTCGATTAAGTCATTTAGAGACTTTTCACCCCCGTATTCCATAGCAAGACATAGACTACCATCATTGGCTTCAGTGAAAGCACGATAACCTGAAAGAAACATAACATTTTCTACTAGAATAGGGAAGAACAACAGTACTTATGTTTTTTATAGTACTGTGACTGAAAATGGACCTGGATTAACACTGACAAATATATAATGAAACAGCTATCTATCTATCCTATATAATAAAAGGCTAATATGCAATTTGTCCCCTCAGGAGTTCAACTGAATGGGAGTTCAACCACTTGCTCTGACGTGTGCTGACCCCCAGGGGGCAGCATGGAATGAAGGAAGGTTCCAGCCAGCAGCCGGCAGCCAGCAGCTGGGGGAAGGAAGGCCCCGATCAGCCCTGATCTCTGGCCAGGCCTAGGGACCCCGTGCATGAATTTCATGCACCAGGCCCCCAGTGTATATATAAAAGCCTAAGCGACCGTTAAGACGGAACGACCTGAATGACTGGTCGACCAGTCACTATGACGTGCACTGACCACCAGGGGGCAGATGCTCAACGCAGGAGCTGCCCCCTGGTGGTCAGTGCACTCTCACAGCCAACCTCCAGCGCCCCTATCCCCTGGCCAGCTGGCCCCGCCATCGACCCCCCAATTATGCACAAATTCGTGCACTGGGCCTCTAGTTTATATATAAAAAAGCCTAAGCAACTGGCTGGTAGCTATAATACACAATGACCAACAGGGGCAGACGCTCAGCGCAGGAGCGGAAACCAAAGGCATGGAAACATGGAACAGACTGATGAATCACAGAGAGAAGGGGGGGGGAGAGGGCAGGAAGAGATTAACCAAAGATCTTATATGCATACTAGAGGCCCGGTGCACAAATTCGTGCACTGGTGGGGTCCCTCAGCCTGGCCTGTGGGGATCAGGCAGAAACTAGCTCTCCAACATCCCCCGAGGGGTCCCAGATTGCAAGAGGGCACAGGCCAGGTTGAGGCACCACACCAGTGTACAAATCTGTGCACGGGGCCTCTAGTTATTTATAAAATTAATTCAGTCATCTAATTTAAAATGCCTTCAGTTTTTACAAATAGTATCACAAATTAAAATTTTAAAATATCTTATGCATTCCTAAATATAACGGTTCGAGCCCTACTTATATCTAAATGAAGATCACTCTATATTCCTGAATTCTCCACAGTACCAGCATCATGACTATTTTTTTAAAATATATTTTTTAATATTTTTATTGATTTCAGAGAGGAAGGGAGAGGGAGAGATAGAAACATCAATGATGAGAGAGAATCATTGATGGGCTGCCTCCTGCACACCCCCTACTGAGGATCGAGCCTGAAACCCAGGCATGTGCCCCTGACCAGAATTGAACCCAGGACCCTTTAGTCCACAGGCCGACACTCTATCCACTGAGCCAAGCCAGCTAGGGCATTACTAACTATTCCCATGATTTTTTAAATTATTATTTTTTAAAATTTATCTTTACTGTTGAAATTATTAGATGTCCCCACTGACTCTCTCCACCCTGATTCTGCCTCCTCCCCAGGCCTTGTCTATCCATGGCTATGCATATATGCTCATAGTTTATTTGTTAATCTCTTCCCCCCCGCCTCCTGCCCTCCCTCTGAAACAAGTCAGTCTGTTGCATGCTTTAATGTCTCTGGATCTTTTTTGTTCATAGTTTATTTTGTTCATTAGATTCCACATATAAGTGATCCCATGATTTGATTCTTACCAAACTCTACCACCATCCTCTTCATTTTTATTACTGAAAATGGTTAAGAAATTATATAAACTGTTTCTGATAAACAGAATAATATATAAGATCCTGCTACCAAATAAAATTTAAACTTACCTATAATATTTGGATGATGAAGGTTTTTCAAAATCTTAGCTTCATCAGTTAATCTCTTTTGATACATACTTTGATAATCACCATTACATTTAGAATTAATCTTTTTCACAGCCCAAGGAGAATGAGACAAGCCTCTTGGAGATCTTAAAAAAAATAATCAATCATAAAATGTATAAATAATAATAAACATAATACATTTATTTCCAAATAACTAACAAGAACTTCCAATTTTTGAAAAGGACTTGATAATTTGTTGTTTTATTTTAAATTTACAAAATTTTATACTATCAACACCTCTTCTACATTTCCTTTTCAATCTGGAAGATAAATAGCTGATATATCTTGATTACAAGAGTAGTCTGATATCTATTGCTGGAAAGGAGGAATAAAAAGAGAAAACCAGAAGAAAAAAGATGGATTGTCATAAATTTTAAACTTCAAGATTACTATTTTTAAATTTTTCTAATCAAGCATGTTGCACTACCAACTACTTATCAAACATTTAACCATATGTACCACAGACAAGTTCTAGAATGCTAAATAATAAACACTAATCTCTAAGAAACAATTTAAATAAGAGACATACAAGAAACATTTGGCCCATATGTAATCGTCCATATAGCAGACTGTTCTTCTCCAACAAATATTATGCCTCTCCACTAACCAATCCATCTCTACCTTCACTGAATACTTAGACATGAGCTTAAGGCAATAATAATAAAGATATAAATGAGAGAGAAAATGTAAACTGTGTTGATTATCTAGCTTAATATTTAAAGTGCAAATGTTTTGAGACCTAAATAAACAAACAGGTAAAACAAAATCAGAGAAATATTTACCTGACAAGGTAGCCATTTATTTACGAGTACAGCAAATTATGGAAGTAAAGTATATACAGCATATAGGCACAAAGGTTAGTAAAATAGCCTCAAAAGTTAAAGTTTACCTGTAAGAACACAACAACAGATTGAACTAAGAATCCATTTAGCTTTGTACTACCCTCATAAGCATACCTCTATGACTGCAGGACTTTTTCTTCTTTAAATCAAAAAACATGTACTCAAAGGATCACTAGATTTCTTATTTCATATACATCTATCATTCATATGTTTATCTACACTATTCTTATACCTCTAGTTTTAGATAACAAGAGCATTTGGGGATAATCTCTTTCATATCATCTTCTTATGAAAAATATATTTTTTAAGTTTTAACTCTTGAATGTTTAGAATTCAGTGACCAAGTCCATCCTTTACCTTTTCCATAACATATCCTGATCTATATAATGACAAAAACTATAAAATCTGAATAAAATACTTAATCAAGCTAAAAGTTAGTTTACTGAAAAGGCTAATAAAACAGAGATTGCACAAGGAAAAAAATAAAAGGAGGCACAAATAATATTGCAATAAAAAGTGAGGACATAACTATAGAAACAGCAGAGGTTAAAAAATAAAAGTGAATAAATAAAACTTTTAGTGGGCTGAAGTGGATCAAGGGGGTAGAAGGGGGACATATGTAATACTTTCAACAAATAAAGATTAAAAAATAATAAAACTTTTAAACAATAAATTTAAAAGACAAAATGGTCAAATTCTAAAGAAAAAAAAATCTAAGAAAATTGATGAGAGAAAAAATTTAATCAAGATTTTAAAATCTTCCCACAAGAAATACAAAGCCTAGATAACTTTCCAGGTGAGTTTACTAAACTTTCAAGAGACCTAGCATTCAATCTTTTCCAAGGAATAGAAAGAAAAGGAGTTAAGAGCCTAGTATAAACTTAACTACAAAAATTAAACAGAGCCTGGCTGACGTGGCTCAGTGGTTGAGTGTTGACCTATGAACCAGGAGGTCACAGTTTAATTCCTGGTCAGGGCACATGCCCAGGTTGCAGGCTCGATCCCCAGTGGGTGCAGGAGGCAGCCAATGATTCTATCTCATCATTGATGCTTCTATCTCTCTTTCCCTCTCCCTTCCTCTCTGAAATAAATAAATATATAAGAAAAAAATTAAACAGAAACAGCAATAAAATGAAAACCACAGGTCAGTATCAATTATATCACAGATGCAAAAATTCTAAACAAATAGCAAACTAAATCTACCAGTATATATTTAAAAAATAATACATCAAAACTATGTTGGGTTTATTCTAGGGATGCAAACTTGATTTAACATTAAAAATATACTTTAGACCAGCGGTTCTCAACCTGTGGGTCGCAACCCCTTTGGAGGTCGAACGACCCTTTCACAGGGGTCGCCTAAGACCATCCTGCATATCAGATATTTACATTATGATAACAGTAGCAACATTACAGTTATGAAGTAGCAATGAAAATAATTTCATAGTTGGGTCACAACATGTGGAACTGTATTTAAAGGGCCAGAAGGTTGAGAACCACTGCTTTAGACCAATGATACCTTGAACATGCATATACAATTTTGATCCCCTGAAGCCTCAGTCATGTAAAAAAAATGGATAGTTTAAGACATATACCCACCAACAAGGATGGAAATAACAAAGGAGACACAACAAACTTTTGGAAGCTAGAAAGCAGATGAAAATAAACGACTTAACAGGCCCCATGAACTTCTTGAACTTATTCATAAGCAGGTAGATTCCTAGATACCTTTCCTGATACTGTATCTCTAGGCAGTTACCCATTCCCTATCTCCTCAGCTTCTCAAGACTGAAAACTAGTTTTGAAAGGGGCTAAAGCAGAGGGTCTTTAGTTTGAGGTTTATTGGTAAAGTTGAATGCCTGTGAACGAACATACAGGAACACAGTAATTCATGACCATATGCATACTAAATGCTCAATGAGTTTTCATATGTGCTATCACCATCAAGGTCAATATATAGAACATTTCTAGCACTCCCAAAAGACTTAGGATGCCATTTTAAAAAGGAAAACTTTCAGATAATTAGTTAAAAACAAAATAGACAAAAATGAAAAACTCAATAGAAGTATCAGAAGATGAGGTTGGGAAAATCTCTCAAAAAATAGAACAAAGAGAAAATAGGAAAATCGGGGAAAAAACAGAGATCAGTCCAGTAAGTGGAACATCCACATAACGAATAGGAAGACAGGGGTGAAAAATGTCAGTAAAGAATTTTAAAAATAACTTCCTAAAAATTAAAGAACAGGAATTTTCAGAATCCCACACCTATGCATGTCACTATGAAATTTCAGAACACTGGTGACAAATAGATATACAAAGTTCAGAACACTGGGAGGAATCCTATCTAATAAAAGAGTAATATGCAAATTAACCATCACACCCTCACTCCATCAGTCCAACACAAAGATGGCGGCGACCACGGAGCTGGAGTGAGCAGGAGGCTTAGGTTGCCCCCGGCAATGGAGGAAGCCAAGCTTCCCGCCTGCCCTGAGCTCCGCTCAAGGCTACAAAGTTTCAATTATAGAAGATAAATAAACCCCAGATACCTGCTTCCAGCTGGCCTGGCCTCCGCTCAAGGAGGGGCTGGGAACATGGGTTGCCAGGGGCAACCCAGGCTTCGAGCCAGGACCAAGGCTACAAAATTTCAATTATAGAAGTTAAATAAATCCCAGATACCTGCTTCCAGCCCAGGGCCATGGCCAGCCTGAAAATGGCCATCAGCCCCTCACCCAAGCTGGCCAGGCACCCCAGTAGGGCCCCCCACCCTGAAGGGGCTGTGGCCAGCCTGAAAACAGCCATAAGCCCCTCACCCAGGCTGGCCACACTCCCATGGGGTGAGGGTCCCCACTGTGGGGCTTGACCAGCCTGCAAACAGCCATCAGCCCCTCACCCAGGCTGGCCAGGCACCCCAGTGGGGACCCCCACCCTGAAGGGGGTGTGACCAGCCTGCAAACAGCCATCAGCCCCTCGCCCAGGCTGGCCAGGCACCCAGTAAGAACCCCCACCCTGAAGGGGGTGTGGCCAGTCTGAAAACGGCCATCAGCCCCTCACCCAGGCTGGCCAGGCACCCCACCCAGTAGGGACCCTCACCCTGAAGGGGGTGTGGCCAGCCTGCAAATAGCCCTCAGCCCCTCAACCAGGCTGGCCACACCCCTATGGGGTGAGGGTCCCCACTGGGGGGCTTGACCAGCCTGCAAACAGCCATCAGCCCCTCACCCAGGTTGGCCAGGCACCCCAGTGGGGACCCCACCCTGAAGGGGGTGTGGCCAGCCTGAAAACAGCCCTCAGCCCCTCACCCACGCTGGCCAGGCACCCTAGCAGGACCCCCACCCTGATCCGGGACACCCTTCAGGGCAAACCAGCCAGCCCCCACCCATGCACCAGGCCTCTATCCTATATAATAAAAGGGTAATATTCAAATTGACCCTAACAGCAGAACCACTGGGAATGACCGGTCACTATGAAACACACTGACCAGCAGGGGGCAGACGCTCAATGCAGGAGATGCCGCCTGGTGGTCAGTGCACTCCCACAGGGGGAGCTCTGCTCAGCCACAAGCCAGGCTGACAGCTGCCAACACAGCGGTGGTGGCGGGAGCCTCTCCTGCCTCAGCAGCGCTAAGGATATCCGACTGCAGCTTAGGTAGGCCTGCTCCCCGCTGGCAAGTGGACATCCCCCGAGGGCTCCCGGGCTGCCAGAGGGATGTCTGACTGCCAGCTTAGGCCTGATCCCCCGGGGAGTGGGCCTAAACCAGTAGGTTGACATCCCCCGAGGGGTCCCAGACTGCGAGAGGGCACAGGCTGGGCCCCCCTGAGTGCACAAATTTTTGTGCACCGGGCCTCTAGTAGATAACATAAAACAGGTAACAAAAGAATCGGCAATCAGAAAGGCTTCAGAATTCTCAGCAGCAACACTGCAGGCTAACAGATAATGGAACAATGTCCTCAAAGTTGTGGAGGAAAATTATGTCCAAACAAGAATTCTGGCCCAGAAAAACAAAAAGAGCCATTCAAGTATTAGCGTAGAATGAAAACATTTTAGAAATGCCAATTCTCAAAAATGCATCGCCTGTGGCCCTAGCCGGTTTGGCTCAGTGGATAAAGCGTCAGCCTGTGGACTACAGGATCCCACGTTCGACTCTAGACAAGGGCACATCCCCGGGTTGCAGGCTCGATCCCCAGTAGGGGGCGTGCAGGAGACAGCCGATCAATGATTCTCTCTCATCATTGATGTTTCTATCTCTCTCTCTCCCTCTCCCTTCCTCTCTGAAATCAATAAAAATATTTTTTTTAAAAAATGTACCTCTTGTGTACTTTTTCATATGGAGCTACCAAATGTCCTCAAACAAAACAAGATGTAAACCAAGAAATAGTAAGACATGAGGTACAGAACAACAGAAGATCCAATTTCACCCGAGAAACAAAGGCAATCTCCATGTTACCAGGAGAGGAAAATCCCAGGCTGACAGGGACACATTAGTAGAATCAGGCAGGGACTGCTATTTTTCAATCAGCCACCATATGAAGCTTTTTGATTGTTATATACAGTAGAACTTTATTAACAACACACTTTACATTTAAAGACAATTTTTTAAGAAAGGGAAAAAAAAATGAGACTAGCCATGAGTCTACAAAAATTTTTTTCTTTCAAAATAACTAGATAACTGAGTTTTTATTCACTAAAAAACACATGTTCACAAAACAGCACACAAACACAAAAGGAGTGTTCAAGTGGCCAAAATGCTTCGAGACACCCACTCACATATTATTGCTATGCTATTCTCAATTAATTAGCTTTATATTAAAGAAAGCATTTCTATGTAGAAACAATATAAACCTAAAAACATATTGTGTTAGTCAGGCTGATTCCCTTCCCATAAAGCCAAGGAAAAATTATAAGGTAGATTACTGTTCCTTTAATAATTCATTAGGAGAAAAGTTAAAAGAAATGTATACCAGGCAGAGAGCTCTGGTAAAGTTATAAAAGGTTCTGAGACTGAATATAGCAGGATCAGGAACATACCTCAAATCTAAATACTTGAATTTTCCTTTGTCTCCAAGTACAGTTGAACTATGGTTCCATGTAAAAAGGTTAATCTAACATCGTATACTCACCTTTTCATAAGGTAGACATTGACCCCTGTGCCATAGCCAAGCTTCTGCATAAACGGAGAGGCAGGAATTTTTATACATGGAGTTGAACATAACGCTAAGTGTCAGAAAGAATTAAAAATTAGTATTTGAAAAGACTTCTACAAATGCATCTAAACATTTGCAATACACTATTGTTAAGAGTATTAATTGGCATAATCTTTTGGAAAGTAATTTGACACTATCCACCCTAATTTTAAATGGAGACCCCTTGGTCAAGTCTACTTTTGGAGTTCTATCTTACAGTAACACTGAAGCTTGTTTTTATATGGTCCAGAAGTTAAGAAATGTTTTTGAAAGGGTTGATTAAAAAACACACACACCCAAAAACAGGTAAAATAAGAATATACAATAGTGTTTCTGTGTGGCCAACAAAGTCTAAACTATTTACTATCTGGCCCTTTACAAATAGTTTGCCAACACCTCAGTACAGCATGTGCCCAAAGACATCATACACATACATGTATGCAAGCATATATATTTGAATACTAGAGGCCCAGTGCACGAATTCGTGCACCAGTGGGGTCCCTCGGCCTGGCCTGTGGCATCGGGCCGAAACCAGCGCTCCGACATCCCCCAAGGGGTCCCAGATTGTGAGAGGGCGCAGGCCAGGCCGAGGGACCCCACCGGTGCACAATCAGGGCCGGGAAGGAATGTGGGAGGTTGGCCAGCTGGGGAGGGACTATGGGAGGGCTCTAGGGCGTGTCCGGCCCATCTCACTCAGTCCCAATCAGCCGGACCCCAGCAGCAAGCTAACCCCTGGTGGTTAGTGCATGTCATAGCAACTGGTCGACCGGTCAACTATCTGCCCCGGGTGGTCAGTGCATATCCTAGCGAGCAGTTGAGCAGCCTAGCATATCATTATCATTTTACGCTTTGATTGGTTGAACGGCCGACCGGTTGACCGGACACTTAGCATATTAGGCTTTTATTATATAGGATTGGGATTCACTTTTGTGGCTGCAGAAAAACACACAAAAACACCCCTTAGTAATAATCATTGGTCATAATTATAGTACATCTATATTACAAAGCATTATACAGTCATAAAAAAAGGTAAAATATAGAAGTCTTACTTTTGCTAGTGAATAATTAATTGCCCTTGGAATTGCCATCTAGAAAACTTGACCCAAAGCACAAAGAACAGAGCTCAGAGGTCTTGTCAAGTTGAGGAGAGAGATGTCATAGGTCAAGGAAACCTAAATAGCTAGAATTTATGGAGCAGAGAACTAAAGAGGAAGCCACAAAATAAGAAAGCTCCAGAGATCTAAAAAGAGATCTCCCTTTAAGCATTTGACTAAATACTTTCTGTACATATAATGGACATGATTCCCCAAAGCTGGAGAAACCACCAAACCCAAGTAATAAGCTAAATCATGATGGGAGATTACACAGGTCTAGGAATAGTTCACTTACGATCAGCCAGAGTGTGGTAACTCGAACACAGGGCATTGAGTAAAGTCCTCTAAAGCAGTGGTTTTCAACCTTCCTAATGCCACGACCCTTTAATACAGTTCCTCATGTTGTGGTGACACCCAATTTCATTGTTACAAATTGAACATAATTAAAGCATAGTGATTAATCACAAAAACAATATGTAATTATATATGTGTTTTCCAATGGTCTTAGGCGACCCCTGTGAAAGGGTCGTTCGACCCCCAAAGGGGTCGTGACCCACAGGTTGAGAACCGCTGCTCTAAAGGGTCATGACTTAGTAGTACAGCTAAATTTTAGCCTACGGAAAAAGCTTAGAACAAAGCCTAAAAGCAAGACTCAAAAGAAAAAAGCCAATGTGCAGGAAACTTAACTGCAGGTTCAGCACAACAAAATCACACACCCTTCAAAGGAATAAAGTTCAGCACTTGACAATGTAAAATGTCTCACAGCCAATAAAAAATTACCAGGTATGAAAGAAGCAAGAAAATATGACCCTTTCCAGGAGAAAAATAAACCAACAGAAACATACAGATATAGAAGTAGCAGATAAAAGCCTTAACATATAAATCTTAAAAAATACACGAATGATGTAAAGGAAAATGCAAGCATAACAAATCAAGACAGAAAAATAAAAAAAAGATCCTAATGAACTTAGAGAAATGAAAAATACAAAGGATAAGAATGATACCATCTTAGAGCAAAAGGTCACTAAATTTTAAGACAAAACAACAAAAAATATCAAAAATGAAGCACAGCCCTACCTGCTTTGGCTCAGTGGATAGAGCATCAGCCTGCGGAATGAAGGGTACCAGGTTCGATTCCAGTCAAGGGCACATGCCTGGGTTGCAGGCACGATCCCCAGCAGAGGGCATGCAGGAGGCAGCCGATCAATGATTCTCTGTCATCATTGATGTTTCTATCTCTCTCTCTCCCTCTCCCTTCCTCTCTGAAATCAATAAAAATATATTTTTTTAAAAAAATGAAGCATAGAGAAAAATATTAGGAAGAAAAATAAAGATATCGCCAATTTGCTATGGACAATAAAAAAATAGATTTAAATCCAACCATAGAGAATTACATTAAATGTAAATGGTCTACACAGTGTTATCCAATAGAACTTTCTGTCATGATAGAAATGTGACTAGTATAACTAAGAAACTAAATTTATAATTTTATTTAGTTTTAATTCATTCGAATCTAAATTTAAATAGCCACATGTAGACAGTGGCTAAACAGTCCAATATAAGGCAGAAGTTGACATGATAAAACCAAAACAAGACATAAGTAACTGCATGCTGTGTAATAAACTCACTTTAAATATAAAGACACAAATAGGTTAAAAGTAAAAGGTTGTAAAACATAATATTCAAACACTAATCAAACTGGAGTGGTTCAATTAATATCACATAAAGTGAACTTAGAAGAGAGTACAACATCAGATAAATAAAAACAATTCATATCAGTAAGGGGGTAAATTCATTAAAGAATAACCTTCCTAAATGTATATGTACCTAATAACAAGTTTCAAAAAATGTAAAACAAGTGATAGAATGGAAAGAAAAAAATAGACAAATCAAGCCCAGTTGATATGGCTCAGTGGTTGAGCATCAACACATGAAATAAGTCACTGGTTCCATTCCCAGTCAGGGCACACGCCTGGGGGTTGTGAGCTTGATCCCCAGTGTGGGCGTGTAGGAGGCTGCCAATCAATGTTTCTCTCACTGATGTTTCCCTCTCACTTCCTCTCTCTTTGTAAAAACATATTTTAAAAAACAGACAAATCCACAATTGTAGTTGAAGATACACCTCTCTCAGTAACAGAATAGACAGAAAATCAATAGGGATACAGAAGACCTGAACTTGTTCAACATAAGTCAACTAGATTGGCCTCATCGATATTTATGTAACACTATACCAAAAAACAGCAGAAAATGTGATCTTTTCAATTGCATGAAACATTCACCAAGATAACTGATCAAGGAAGAAAAATCAGTACCAGAAATCAAAAAGATATCACCACAGACCCTGCTGACATTACTGACAATAAAAGGATAATAAGAGTATGTCATAAATAACTTTATGCCCATAAATTTGACAACTTAGAATAAACAAGTTCCTTGAAAAACACTAACAAAGTTTACACAAGAAGAAATAGATAACCTGAATAGCCCAATATCGATTAACTGTGAAGTCACGGTTAAAATCTTCTTATAAAGAAGATTTTAGTACTCATTGATTCCAAGGCTAAGGATGGGAAAAAAGTAAGTATTAGTCTGGAGAGCTGTAGCTAAACATCCAGGAAAACTAGACAAATTTAGGACTCAGTTCAATTCATAGGTGAAAAATAAAACTTCAAAACAATTGGAGATTTAAAATGGCAGCAGAGTAGGAGGATGCTGCATGGACATGCTCCCAGGAACAAGCTGGAATTGCAAGTGAAATATGGAAAGGCTTCCTGAATAATCAATGGAAAACTCACAGGAGAGAACCCTGATACCCAAGGACCAAAGGTGGAGACTGCATAGAGACTGGTAGGAGGGGCGGAGGCGCTAAAGGACTGGTGGGGCACCCACAGATGGCAACTGAAGTCCTGGAGAGATATCTCAGCTGTGGGGGGGTGCCACTGCGAACTCTGGGATCTAATCCCGAAGTTGGGCTCCCTAGCAGAGAGCACCAAAACTGAGGAGGGTACCCACATCTAGCTGTGAAAAGCAGTGGGATGCTGTCTGCCAAGGAGTGACAGCTAAAAGTTCGGGCACCCTCTTAAAGAGCCAACGCACAAAAATTCCCTGAGCCACCCATCTTATGCCCTGGCAGAGGGACAGTAAAGTGGACTGGAGCTGTAAGAGCAAAACTCAGGACTGGGGACTCAGGGGATAGAGCTCAATAGGCAGACACTCCAAGTTTCCTGGGCTGTGTAATTCCCTCACACTGTGGAGGACATCTTTCCCACATAGACATCTGCCTTGCCTTGGGGGAAGAGTCTTGCCACACCTGAGGACCATTGCCTGGCTGGGGGCAATTCAAGTCGGAATCCTATTAGTCTGTGGACAGAGGCAGTCTCTGGAGGTTTGGAGTCTTTGCCTGATCCAATTAGTCAGAAACAACCTTTAACACTATCCTGCACTAGAGATTGAGAGGTATAGAGGATCTACCTAAAACATAGTCACAAACCCAGAGACAACCAAAACGAGGAAACAAAGAAAGAACCCCCAAATGAAAGAACTAGCGAATTCTCCAGAAAAAGAGATAAATAAAAGAAAGAGATAAGAAATTTATCTGAAACAGAATTCAGAGTAATAAGGTTAAAAATGCTCAACAATATGAAAAAAGATATAGTAACTATGAAAAAAGAACAGTCTGAGATCAAGAATGACATAACACAAATAAAGAACACATTGGAAGGAATACACAGCAGATTAGGGGAAGCTGTGGATCGAATCAGTGAATTAGAAGACAGAGTTGAAAATATCACTCAATTAGAGAACCAGAAAGAAAAAACAATTAAAAAACAGGACAGCCTAAGGGAGCTGTGGGACAATGTGAAACGTAACAATATTAGAATAGTATGTATGCCAGAAGAGGCAGAAAGGGAGAAAGAAATAGAGAAGGTGTTTGAAGAAATAATGATAGAAAACTTCCCTAACCTGGAAAAGGAAAAAGTCACACAAGTTCAGAAGGCACAGAGAACACCAAACAAGAAGAACCCAAACAGACCCACACCCAGACACATCATAATTCAAATGCCAAAAATTAAAGACAAAGGGAGAATTTTAAAGACAGCAAAAGAAAAGAAAGTTGTTGCCTACAAAGAAGTTCCCATAAGGCTGACACCTGATTTCTCATCAGAAACTCTACAGGCCAGAAGGGAATGGCATGAAGTACTCAAGGTAATGGAAAGCAAGGATCTGAGACCAAGATTACTATATCCAGCAAGGCTATCATTCAAAATAGATGGTCAAATAAACAGCTTCCCAGACAAAAAAAGACTAAAGGAGTTCATCACCACCAAGCTAGCATTACAAAAATGCTAAAGGGATTGCTGTAAGGGAATGCTGAGAAGAAACAGAGAGAGAAACCTAGCCATACAGAATTAAAATGGCTATAAATAAGTAGTTCTCAATAATAACCCTAAATGTAAATGGATTAAATGCTCCAATCAAAAGGTGTAGGGTAGTTGAATGAATACAAAAACATGATCCAATCATATGCTGTCTACAAGAGACCCACCTCAAAACAAAAGACACACAGGATGAAAGTGAAGGGATGAACAAAAAATTTCCATGCAAATGGAAAAGAAAAAAAAGCTGGAGTAGCAATATTCATATCCAACAAAATAGACTTTAAATGCATCATGCTAAGTGAAATAAGCAAGTTGGAGAAAAATAAATATCATATGATCTCACTCATTTGTGGAATATAATGAACAATGTAAACTGATGAACAAAAATAGTCAGAGGAGAAAAAAGTATTCTAGAATATAATAGAAATAATCCTGTTATTTGCAGATTTTTAATATTTCCTACAACTTCTGTGATATCATACTATGTTAGTACAGTTTTGGTAATATTATTATACTTAAAATCCTTTTATTCTTGAAATGTTAATGTTTATTGCATGTAATCTATATATGTATATAAACGCCTAATATGCAAAGTGTCCCCTCTGGAGTTCGACCAACCAGGAATTCAATTGTTTGCTATGACATGCGCTGACCACCAGGGGGCGGCGCAGAACGAAGGAAGGCCCTGGCCAGCAGTTGGAGAAGTTCCTGCACTGGGCCTCTAGTATTATTATATGTAAGATCATTTTTCTTGAATAACTGGTGTTTATTGCATGTAACATTATTATATTTAAGATCGTTTTTCTTAAAATATTAATATAATATTAAAATAAAAAACTGGAAAAAAAAACTTCCTATAAAGAAAACTTCAGGCCCACATGGCTTTACTGGTGAATTCTACCATTTAAAGAAGAAATATATTACTTCTACATATACTCTTCAAGAAAAGGGAACACTTCCCATCTTACTTTATGAATACAGAATACCCTGATACCAAAACTAGACAGACATTCCAAAAAAAAAAAACAAAACAAAACAAAAAAACAGCAACAGTCCAATATCCCTCTTGAACACAGAAAATATTAGCAAAGTGAATCAAGCAATATATAAAACACATCATGACTAAATTGGCTTTACCTCAGGAGTGAAAGTTTGGTTTAACATTTTAAAATTAACAGAATTTACCATATTGACTGACTAAAAAATAAAACTATCCCAATAGATTCTGAAAAGTTCAACATACATTCACGATAATCAGGAATAAAAGAAATCAGGTCATGGCCAGGATGACCATGTCCTGGCCTATAAAGTAAGTCTAATTTGTTAAGATCAACATTATAAAGAGGACTTAATCTAAATTTGTGGATGGTAATTAAAGCATCAAACTACAGTTCTAATAACAATAACAATGAAAAAAGGTTTTACTAGTATACCTATCTTACCAGATTTTCTTTTTTCAGATAATTTGCTTGGTGTCTTAAAATTATTGATTTCTTCCATTGTAATAATCACTCTAGGTCCTATGATAAAAATAAATTGAAAGTTACACTGCAGTTATAAAGAACACAACTCTAATTCATTAAGAAAAACCTCCTATAGTAGCTCTCATTTTATCATATTAAGCATTAAATTTGAGAACTGAAAAAGACCATGATCTAGTCCAGAGCCTCCCTTCTCCAGCACGGGAGCCTCTTAGACACCTGGACCATGGACCCCAGGGAATGCTCCTGATGGTCTGGAGGAATATGCATCTGTAGAGACAACTACAAATGCACAGCTTGCAACTGTAAAACATGTTGAAAAAGCTACTGCTCCCCCAGCCCCCCCCAAGTGTGCCTAGGGCTGCATCTGCAAAGGAGGCTCCAGCAAGTGCAGCTGCTGCCATTGAAATGCAACAGTTGTGCTGAGGGTGTGGCCCGGGAAGCTTCTGTACAGTGCGTTAGTTGAGAAGATTGTGCTTTTTATATATTTGCCCCAATGAGGTGTTGGTGACATTCATGTAAATTGCTTGGAGCAATAAAGTTTTCACTCGTGGTAAAAAAATATTTTTAAAAAAAAGAAAGAGCCCTAACCGGTTTGGCTCAGTGGATAGAGCGTCGGCCTGCGGACTGAAGGGTCCCAGGTTCGATTCCAGTCAAGGGCATGTACCTTGGTTGCGGGCAAATCCCCAGTGGGGGGAGTGCAGGAGGCAGCTGATTGATGTTTCTCTCTCATCGATGTTTCTAACTCTCTATCCCTCTCCCTTCCTCTCTGTAAAAAGTCAATAAAATATAAAAAATAAAATAAAATAAAAGAAAAAGAAAAATATCTAGTCCAATTTTATTTACATGAGAAATGAGAAAACTGAAACCCAGACAGGTACAATTCCTTACCCAAGGCCATACTATTAGTGAAAGATTTTTTCTGTTGTCTTTTTTTTTATATATATAGTTTTTTTGTTTTGTTTTGTTTTTTTATTTCAAAGAGGAAGGGAGAGAGAGATAGAAACACGGATGAGAGAGACACATCCATCGACTGCTTCCTGCACTACCCCTACTAGGGATCGAGCTCGCAACCCAATCAAACCCAGCAGAGAGAAAGAAACATGGATGTGTCTCACTTGTGATACGTTGCCTCCTGCACAAGGTGGGGGCCAGGCTTGAGCCTGCAACTGAGGCACGTGCCCTTGATCGGAATCGAACCTGGGTCCCTTCAGTCCCCAGGCCAACACTCTACCCACTGAGCCAATCAACTAGGGCATTTTTTGTCTTAATTAAAAATATATGAAGTTGGTTAAAAAAAAAATTTGCCACTACAAAAAGGTAAAGAGTCAATCTCCTTCTCACACTTCCTGAAAGTACTTAACAGGTCTTTCATACCCTTTAAAGAAATTGTCTATGCAAACAGCATTATTCATAGCAGCCCAAAAAAAGGGAACAGAAATACCCATCAGATGATGAGTAAATAGGTAATTCCATTTACACGGAATGTCCAGAATAGGCATATCCAGACAAAAATAGATTAGCAGCTGCTAGGGGGTTAGGAGGAAGGGAGGAAGTGGGTCTGGGGCTTCTTTTTGGGGTGATGGAAATGTTCTAAATTAGGTAGTGGTTGAACATATTCAACAATGGGATTGAGTCTATCACTGAATTATATACTTTCAAAGGATGAAATTTATGCTGCGTGAATTATATCTCAGTAAGCTATTATAAAAATCGTCTATGCAAATAAAATGTACATACTGCACATACATGCAAGTTAATCCGGGCTTTCTATTTCTTCCATAACATAGTTCTTAAAGAACCTTTTTTACCAAAAAAATAATAATTTTTTAAGTGAGGTTTCATATTATTCGTTACTTACTGTAAAACAAACCGTTCCTACATGTCTAAAGCTCATTTGGTTGTCTATAAAAAATACTTGCTTTAATTTCTTGTAGAGCCCTTAATACGCGGCACCTTTGAAAACTCTGTGCCAAGGAAAAAGAAGTCATCTCAAAGGCCCGGCTTTACTTTTCTATTAATAAGACGCTTGTTTATTGTTTAAAGGTAGCTACAACCACCACCACTGCCTTTAGATTCACACGGAAGATCCCCTTTCCATACGCTTGTCAGCCACCATCCGGCTAAACAAACACAGAGACACCGCGGGCGAAGCTAAGTGTAGATGAGCCAATAGGAGCACCGCGGGGGGACGCGGGGCGGAAGTTCTGATCGGATTATCCCGAAGGTTCCGCACCCGGGGCGCCCTCAGGAGGACTCCTGGGGACGGAGGCACAGCCCGTGCACCCCCTAGTCCGGGAGTTTACAGAGGCCGGTGGTTTAAATCCTCCCTCCACCTGGAAACCGGGGGCAACGTTAGTTGCGGGGTTCGAAGCAGGGAACTGTGCGTCGCCCTTCTTCCTCCGACTCCAGCCCCCGCGTCCCCGCCACAGACCCTTCACCGGCTCTAACTCCCTGCGGAGTGGAAATCGAGACGACAGTTCCCACCGGCATACGGCCTGGTGTTCGGATCTGTGCACCCCGAACACCGGCCTAGAGGGGGGCCTCCCCGCGAGCCCTCCGAAACCCACTGCAGCTGGCCAGGCCGGGGCTCCCCCATCTGCCTGACCGACGTATTCGCCCACGGAGCTTCCACCACCAGGACAGATGGCCGGGCTTCGCTTCGAGAAAGAACAACTTCTCCCACGAAATTCCCTTCCTACCTCGTGATTCCGATGCGCACTCGAGTCTGGGTCGCAGGGAAGGATCCTAAGATAATTCCCAGCTTAACGCCCAATTTCCAACGTCTTCAACTTTCCTGCTAGGCCGCGAGCTGTTACAAACGCCAACGCTCGACCCGGCACCCAGGCCCCCGCGGTCAGGGCCCGAGGAAAGGGCCCCCCAACACCCCCTTACCCGGGCGGCGCGGCGCTCGCGCTCCCAGGTGGAAGAGGAGCCGGCGGACGAGAGGCCCCGGCCAAGGTTACCTGAAAAACTGGTCCCGAGGGGCCGCCAAAGGGACCCCGCGGCTACTTCAGCGTCGCGCCGGCCGAGCACTACACCCGCTACGGTGGTTGTGCCTGGAAACCGCGGGGCTTTCAAAAACGCGCGCACGTTCCCAGCGCCGGCCGCAAACTACGGGGTGGCGCGAAGGACAAAACTAGTCGTGTCCGTTCTTTTTCTTTCCAATCTTTCTTTGTACTGATTCCATTTTATCACCCAATAGGGATCCTTTTAAGATAAATAGAAGGAAAAAAAAGAAAAGAAAAAAAGATAAATAGAAGGAAGAGAAACGCAGGGAAGGACAAACTGCTTTTTATATCCAATGCCAGCCCTTCAGAGGAACAACTCTGGCTTAATAGACTATATATGCCTTTATTTAAGGCTGAAATTCTCCCCCAATTGCAAATACTCTCAGAATGTTTAATGGTTATTATGTAGTTTTTATTACAAATTCATTTGGCCTTGAAACACTATTAACTAAAAGCGCATTAACATAGAGTAGCAATCATTTTTGGCTGAGAAGAAACATAGATATTTAGAAATTCTGCTAACTTATAATAACCACATTCAGTTCAACATGTGTTCATTTATTCAACGAATATCTATAGAGCACCTACTATTGATATATTGTAGGTCAGAAGATGCCTTAATCAATAAGCCAAATTTATTTGGAGTTTTTTTCATTTCGCTAGCGCTAGCGGGCCCAGACGAAATATTGCTTCTCAAATTCTGGGGCCCAACATGGTGGCAGTCCTTCCTATTTATAAGTTTTTCAGCTTTTTTTTTTTAAACATATTTTATTAATTTTTTACAGAGAGGAAGGGAGAGAGATAGAGAGTTAGAAACATCGATGAGAGAGAAACATCGATCAGCTGCCTCCTGCACACCCCCCACTGGGGATGTGCCCGCAACCAAGGTACATGCCCCTGACTGGAATCGAACCTGGGACCCTTCAGTCCGCAGGCCGACGCTCTATCCACTGAGCCAAACCGGTTAGGGCGTTTTTCAGCTCTTTGTCTCCCAAATTTGGAATGACACTTCCGGACCTTCTGAGAAAGAAGGCCTGCATGCTGGGACAGGGTCGGGAGACTATACCTCAAGGCCTGGCCTGGCGCCAGCACTGACAGCTCTGTCTGGGACATAGTTTATAGCCTCTCTGGGAGTAGTCTTATTTTTCCCTATTATTTAAGCAAGCAAATGTTTACAGAAGCCAGAATAGCAGGGTTAAAATTTTAAACAGCAGTTTTTACCCAAGATGAAGGTTACTATGCTTCACTATGTTGCAGGTGTGTATTGAGTGCCCACCGCATAGGAAATACTGTAGTAGATAATGCAACAGACACACCAGTGATTAAGCCACAGAACTTAGGAGAATAGACTCTGCTGGGTAGCGGGTGGGGAAATGTCCCAAGAACAAACACACACACACACATACACACACACACACACACACACACACACACACACACACTTCATAATACAACCTACACACTTCATATTGATACGGGATTTGGGGGCTAGAACACATGGTGTTCCCCTAGGCAGGATGGCTTCCCGGATTCTTTGTCCGTCAGAGTTGGAGAATGAAACCAGGGACAGAAGGTGGTATAACAAAGGTGGAAATTTATTGAAGGACAAGCACAGACTCCCATGTGGGGAAGGGGAAAGAATCGCACAGCACAGACTCCCACATGGGAAGGGGGACAGAGTCCCTCCCAGCCCCCCCACCCCCCCACCCCCCGTTTTATAAAAGCAGTAGTTTTTGTGCCCTGATATCCCCTCTGATTGTCCACCATTCCCTTTTGATTTGGGTCACTAAAGCAACTCCTGAGCTCAAAGGTCAAACCTCACATGGGCCCCTGTGAGGCCCTCCTTCATTGTCCTCCTATTCCCTCTGGGCTTTCTTCCTTCTTTATTTTGTAAACTAGAGGCCAGGTGGGAAGCTAGCGGAAGAACCTTCCAAGTAGAGGGAAAGGCAACTGCAAAGGCATTGAAGTGTTTGGGGGACTGAGAAGAAAGTGGGGTGGCTGGACATAGTGGGGAGTGGGTGAAAGGGACCCAGGATGAGGTTGGAGAGTCCGTGTCCTCTTGGTGCAATAAGAAGCCATTGAAGAATTTAAACCAGACAATGATATGGTCTGGTTTTTAGTTTAGGGGAACACTGGCTGGAACATAAAAAGAAAACAACAAAAAACCCTGTCATGCCTTTCAACAAATGATTCTGTAGTAATTGGACATCCATAGGCAAAAGAAGGAGGAGGAGAAGGAGGAGGAGGAGGAGGAGGAGGAGGAGGAGAGAAGGAGGGGAGTGGAGGGGGAGGAGAAAAGAATCTTTACTTAAACTTACCTTATACAAAAATTAACTCAAAATATAACATTATCTTCATCTAGATATATACCCAAATGACATATACATAGGTGCACCAAAAACCATGCACATAATTGCTTATAGCAGCATTATCTGTAGCAGCCACACTGGTAAACCACTCCAATGTCCATTAACAGCAGAAAGGCTAAATAAATGGTGATAGATTTATACAGTGGAATACTACACAGCAGTGACACTGTGTGCACCAAGTGGGATTAACCTTATAATGTGGAGCAAAGAAGCTGGACACAAAACTATGTTGCATAATTCTATGTATATTAAGCTCATAAACAGGCAAAAACAACTGTAGTGTTTGGGGGGCTGGGGTTAAATGGCAAAAAAAAACTAAACAAATTTAGAAACCCACCGAAATGATGTCCATAAAAATCAGGTTTGTTGTCACTTAGGAGGAAGGGAGCAGGAAGCGATTGGGAGGAGGCTGAGAAGGGCTCCTGGAGTGCTCGCTGTCTAGCTCTCAACCTGAGTGATGCTACTCGAGGGTTTGCTTTGATAAATCCTTGAGCTGAACACTTTGTTTTGAGTGATTTCTGTATTTGCGTTACATTTTGTAATAACTAAGCTTTATTTGTTAAAAGTAAAGGCAGGAGAAGAAAGTATGCGATGAAACTGCACCTGGGAAGTTTAGTGACCTGTACAGTGGACATGGTGAATGGGCTCTGGTTGTGAATTTGATTTTGCCAATGAGAGGTACTTGGTGCAATTTGGAAGTCAGAGTGAGGTGGAACCACCTTCCTGCCCCTTCACCCATGTCCCCTGGCAGGCAGAGTTGTGTGTGGGGTTTGGGAGTTTCTGCAGCTGTGTTCTAGTACCTAGTTACTCACTTCGTGGGCGTTGAAAGGCATCTAAAGTGGCAGTGATGGTCTCTTGACTCCTGGGTCACAGCTATAGTGTATATCCTTGGACCTGACAGTTTCAGGCTCAGTCTCCTGCCTGGCAATGGGCTCAGATATATAATCTTCATAAAAGGACGAGAGAGAGTGAATAATACAGTCCACCACAGTCTCCTAGAAATGTTCATAACTATGTAATAAAGCTCATCATGGCAAACAACAGAAAAAACATGGATTCAAATGTAAAATATAAAACATAGCATTTTTCGAGAAAAAAGTAAAGCAAACTATAAAACTTTTTTGAAAAAAATGTAAGACGTAAAACTATAAACCTTTTAGAAACAGACTGGAGCTACTTGGGGAGAAACTTCAGAGGCGAGGGCTAGGTGAAGAGTTCATGGACTCGACGCTACAAGCATGCTCTGTAAAAATGAAAATGGATAAACTGACCTCATCACAATGAAAAACTGTTCTGCAAAAGACCCTGTGAAGAGGGTGAAAAGACAAGCTCTAAACTAGGAGGAAATATTTGTGAGCCACATATCTGCAAAGGATTTGTATCTAGACTATTATATAAAAAACTCTCAAAATTTCAACAGCAGAGAAAAAACAATCCAGGCAGAAAATGGGCAAAAGACATTATAATAAGCTGCATAATGGCCCCCACAGACATCAGGTTCCAGTCCTTGGAATCTGTAAATGTCAGCTCATTTGGAAATGGAGTCCTTGCCGATGGGATGAAGTTGAAGGATGTTGAGCTGGGGAGATTATCTGGTGAGCCCTACATGTAATCACAGGTGTCCTTCGAAGAGATTTGATACAGACACACAAAGGAAAAGGCGATGTGACGATGAGCCGAGAGAGATTTGAAGATACTGGCCTTGAAGACATAGCCCGAGGCCACAAACCAAGGGATGCCGGCAGGCACTAGAAACTGGAAGAGGCAAAGAATACATCATCCCTCAGTCTCCTCACTCACACTCTTCATTCCATATAGTTCCAAACATCTGTTAAAGCTTGCTGCTGCCTCTCAGACAATGTGACTATCATCTTTGCCCTTTCCACTTAATTTCACAAAGGAACCACCTTTAGTCTAATTTTTGTCATCCCCTTCATGGGTGCACCTAAGTGAGATAGGGACAGTAAAACACTGGAAAAACGTAATATCTATATATATAAAAGCCTAAGCGACTGTTATGACCGAATGACCGGAACAACTAGAAGACTGAAACGACCAGTCAACCAGTTGCTATGACGCACACTGACCACTGGGGGGAAGACGCCTGCGGTGGTCAGTGTGGTCCCACAGCCAACCTCCCACAGCCAGCCAACCTCCCCTGGTCAGTTCCCCCGTCCAGCAGGCCCCATCTGGCAGGCCCTGACCCGCGGTTGGCAGGCCTGGCCAGCCTGGCCTCAATTGGGACTGGGCGAGATGGCCCTGATAGGCCGTGATTGTTGGCCAGGCCTAGTGACCCCACCCGTGCACAAATTTCGTGCACTGGGCCTCTAGTCTTATTATAATTGAATTACTTTTAGCTTCATACTGCTCCTTCCTCCCTAGGGACAGATTAGATGGATGGTGGTCATGAGATAGAAATCAGAAAACAGGAATGGGAACATCGGTGAACTCTAACAGGTACTCTGCTTGCCTGGAGCAGTTTCCTAACGCTGG